TGAAATATTAATTTAACATATTTACAAAACATATTTTTATCTATTTGGTTTAAAAAAAGTTCAAAAATTACGATTATGACATTTGTCACTATTACCTAAAAAATTATCTATCAAAAGATATATAATAGATGAAATTACGTAAAATATAAATATATAATAATCATTTTTAAAATATATATTAAAAAATATCAATCAAAAAAATATATTTAAAAAATTTATTAAAAATTATCAATAAAAAAATATCAATCAAATAAATATATTTAAAAAAATTTATTAAAAAAATTTATTAAAAAAATATTTTAAAAAACATCAATCAAAAAAATTTATTAAAAAAAATAATATAAACACAAAAAATTAAAAATATAAAAAAAAATATCAATCAAAAATATATATTTAAAAATATTAATTTAAAAAATCATATAATACAAAAAAAAAATATAAAAAAAAATATCAATCAAAAATATATATTTAAAAATATTAATTTAAAAAATCATATAATACAAAAAAAAAATATAAAAAAAAATATCAATCAACAATATATATTTAAAATATTAATTTAAAAATAACACAAAAAAAAAATTAAAAAAAAATATCAATCAAAAAATATATTTAAAAAAATTTAAAAAAACATATAACATAAAAAATTAAAAAAATTAGCGATCAAAAAGAAATCAAAAAAATATATTGTAACAAATTAAAATATATTTTAAAAAAAATATCAATCAAAAAATATATTGTAACAAATTAAAATATATTTAAAAAAAAATATAATATTAATCTTAAGAAATTATTAATAATAACGAAAAAATTATTAATAATATAATATTACAAAAATTACACATTGCCTGATTTAACCCGGCAATGTGCACATTGCCTGGTTATTTCGGCAATGTATACTTTGCCGAAATAACAAAATTACCCTGCCTACCACTACCTCACATTGCCAAAAAAATTCCGATAAATAAACATTGATAAATCATTTATTTATATTGGAAAATCGTTGCAATCTTTTGTTTCAGGTCCGTGAAGTTGGCCCCGCAATTTTTGATTTTCAATGGTTTATCAGTTGGTGTGATTAGTACCCGACTTGTACCGATTTGTACCGTTTTCAGTTCGATTTGTACCATCACCGTTTTTGAGATATTCAAAGAACAAAATGGGGGGTCAACTTCACGACAGCCCCCCAACTTTTGAACTTAAAAATAAAAAGTGAATAGGTCGATAGAGAATGATTTGTACCGTTTTCAGTTCGATTTGTACCATCACCGTTTTCCAGCTATTGACCTTTGAAAATATGGCGCCAAAAATAAAAAAACACTCAACATTTATTTTTTAAAAAATTTTTTTAACGTACAACGGTAGAGAATTTTTTTCTCTTCCTAATGATGCCTCAAATTAAGCTTTATCTTCTTTATTTATTTCGGAAATCAAATTTTAAACCTTATTATAGCGTTAAGTTAGCCCCCTCCCCCAATATTCAAAATTTGAGATTTTTCAAATTTTTAAAACGGGATTGATTTATACCCGATTTGTACCGTTTCAAACTCGATTTGTACCATTACCGTTTTCCAGCTATTGACCGTTAAAGATATGGCGCCAAAAATATAAAACACTCAACATTTATTTTTTTAAAAAATTTTTTAACGCACAACGGTAGAGAATTTTTCTCTTCCTAATGATGCCTCAAATTAAGCTTTATCTTCATTATTTATTTCGGAAATCAAATTTTAAACCTTATATTATAGCGTGAAGTTAGCCCCCCCCCAATATTCAAAATTTGATATTTTTCAAATTTTTAAAACGGGATTGATTTGTACCCGATTTGTACCGTTTCAAACTCGATTTGTACTATTATCGCTTTCCAGCTATTGACCGTTAAAGATATGGCGCCAAGGTTTAAAATTTGATTTCCGAAATAAATAATAAAGATAAAGCATAATTTGAGGCATCATTAGGAAGATAAAAAAATTCTCTACCGTTGTGCGTTAAAAAATTTTTAAAAAAAATAAATGTTGAGTGTTTTTTATTTTTGGCGCCATATCTTTAACGGTCAATAGCTGGAAAACGGTAATGGTACAAATCGAATTTGAAACGGTACAAATCGGGTACAAATCAATCCCGTTTTAAAAATTTGAAAAATCTCAAATTTTGAATAATGGAGGGGGGGGGGCTAACTTCACGCTATAATATAAGGTTTAAAATTTGATTTCCGAAATAAATAATGAAGATAAAGCTTAATTTGAGGCATCATTAGGAAGAGAAAAAATTCTCTACCGTTGTACTTTAAAAAATTTTTTAAAAAAATAAATGTTGAGTGTTTTTTATTATTGGCGCCATATTTTCAACGGTCAATAGCTGGAAAACGGTGATGGTACAAATCGAACTGAAAACGGTACAAATCATTCTCTATTGACCTATTCACTTTTTATTTTTAAGTTCAAAAGTTGGGGGCTGTCGTGAAGTTGGCCCCCATTTTGTTCTTTGAATATCTCAAAAACGGTGATGGTACAAATCGAACTGAAAACGGTACAAATCGGTACAAGTCGGGTACTAATCACACCAACTGATAAACCATTGAAAATCAAAAATTGCAGGGCCAACTTCACGGACCTTTTTGTTTCTAGTCTATTTTATGATCAATATAAATTGTTAGAATTTTTTTAAATTATTTATTTGTATTTTATTATATTTTTAACATATTTTCAATTATTTAATTAGTTTTTTTTTTAAATTATGACTTCAATTATATAAAAATGTTCTTCATTTATAAATAATTATATTTTCTTAGATTTAAAAAAATTAATATTAAGACGTCATTTTATCGAATAAAATCTAATCGGTGAATTTAATATCGACCGAACAGATGTTTTAAAAAGACGAAAAACCTGCCCCATAATATAAAAATATATGTACATTCCTTATTATTGGTTTTAAAAAATCACGAAATCAGTTAGAACCCGGTCCGGGTTATTTATATGATAAATCATTTAGAAATAAAATTTTTTAAATTTCAACATGTCCAATTTTAAAATTTAATGGATGATCTTGGTTCCACGTCAATTCGGCGCGACGACAATTCGGCACAGCAACAATCCAGCGCGGCGACAATTCGACGCAGCGTCATTTCGGCGCAACGACAATTCGGCATATCTAATACAGCTGCAATTTATTATAAATTTATTAGTATAAAAAAGGATGATTAAATAGAAGTCATTTTGAATGTTAGTCCTAATAATTATTTCTTTATATTTTTTTTACAAATAAATGTGTAATATCAATAAAAAATTTAATAAAATCAAAAAAAATTAACAACCAATATTTATACCGATTTTTTTGGTGAACCAATTTACCATATTATAAGGTATTCTGATTAGTAGCCATTATTATGTAACCCTGGAGATTTTGCGCATAGAAGAATGAAAGAAATAAAGATAAAGAAAGGTTTGGACCTCTATCTCTAATCTTACATATTATTTTGGCTAAAATCATAATCGACCGTTTTTAAAAATATGCCCAAATCGGCCCCAAGAATTAATGCGTAATTTTTTTATTTATTTATATAATAGGTATTGAAATTATAAATATACTAATTGAAAATAAAATTATAAATTTCCAGTCTCATTAAATATGAGAAATTTGACATTCCAATTATCAAGGATAAAAAAATATAAGTGGCTTATCATCACATTTACTTAAAAAATCAAAAAAGGAAACTAAAAAGATTTTGTCCGACTAGATTCATTGAAAGACGAGTAGGTGAAACTCTATATTGAACTATATGATGTTGTAGTTGCAGCATTGGAATTTTATATATCAAGCAAGGAAAAGGATACAGCAGATGCTGAGAATCTTTTACAGGCTATTATTAAGCCACAATTTTTCATATCTATTCAATTTGTTTATTTTTTATTTAATTATACATATGATTTTAGCAAAATGCTTAAAAAATTGATTTGGATTTAAGGGAGGTTATGAATAGAGCAAAGGATATTGTTGAAATATTAACAAATATTAGTGAGAATGTGGATAAAAATTTCATGAAATATGAGAAAGTAGAGGAGATTGCTAATATGTTTGAGATTGAAATTTTTAAACTTAGAGTAGTTTCTAGGCAATCCAATTGCTCAAATATTGATGCATCTACGATTGAGGATTTTTATAAAATAAACATTTTTATTCATCTTATTGATACATTTTAATTTAAATTAAAGGAAAGGAAAGATTTATTAGTCATATTTTTATTTTAAAAAGCTTTTTTTTTCTTTTGCTAGTTGAGTCTAAACTGTTGATTATGCTTGAAACACGAGAGGATATTATGAAAATCTCAATATAGTAGGCTCATATGATAGTTACTTTGTGTAGTATGATTTTCGTAAATCTTGACAGAATATAGTATTCTTTGAGACCAAAAAATGCTCTGCAGGCCCTATCTATGTGCAATTGCACTAGATTCATAATATCAAAAAATTATTAATTAACTTAGCTACAATACCAATTAGTACCTGCACTAATGAAAGGTTTTTTCAACTTTAAAAAGGTTAAAAACTTATTTAAGAAATACTACCGGTTAAAAATCTTAGGATTAGCCCTATTAAATATTTATAAGGAGATTATTCTAGATAAAAATTTGATTCTAGATGAATTTGAGAAATCTCAGAGAAAAGTAGACCTCACTATATAAATTCAAATCAAAATTTTAAACGACCGATTTGGGTCTATTTTAAAACTTAGCCAAAATAATATGTATACCTTATAATGTGATAAATTGTCCACCAAAGAAATCGGAATAAATTTTGGTTGTAAATTTTTTTTTTACTAATAAATTTATAATAAATTGCAGCTGTATTAGATACGCGCCGAATTGTCGCTGCGTTGAATTGACGCCGCGCCGAATTTTTCGCGCCGAATTGACGTGATACCGATGATCTTATGTATTGTATGAAAATAATAAAAGAATCAGAAAATTAAATTTAAAAGTTTTTTAAAATAAGATTTCCAACCTTCCGATATATGATTAATATTTTCCAGGGCGTTTTTAGCAGATTTGAAGGGTGAAAAAGCCACCAAATGAACTGTGTTGGCGAATTTAGTAAAATCAGTGAGATTGTCACACAATTGTTTGGATAAAAGGATCATACCTATCTCTTCATATTGCTTGATGTTGAATAAGGTGTAACCGACGGCATGTTCAAATAGGATGAACAAGGAAGACTATTTATCAAATATGAATATTCATTTATTAAAAATTAAAATTATATATTAAAGAGGATTTTCGGTTATGTAGAATATAGTCTCCAGAATTCTGGCATAGTCACTTTATAAAAAGGTTTTTTAAATCGATTTATATGGCCTACCGCTTAACAGTGGATTTGAATAGGACTGGGAATAAAAAAATAAAATATATAATATTATAAATAATTTTAACCCTTTAAAATTTTTTATTTATTTTTGAGTTTTTTATATATTTTTCTAAATCAATGAGTGAAGATATTTGTCAATATTTTAAAATTCACAACTTAGATTAGGAATAAGAGTCTATCCTAGGGCTGTGTCCAAAATATCAAAAATTCTTTTCGTAAACTTTTTAAACTTTATTGTAGAAGAAATAAGTTTTTTTTAATATAAAAAGATGTTCAATAAAAAGATGTCCAAAATATAATTCTTGAAAATTCAAAAATACATCTCGATTTTTTTTAAATTCAACTTTCCGAATTTTATAAAAAAGATTTTGGACATAGCCTAATATAATAAATTTGTTTAGGTATTTTAGTTAACTAGATAAAAACTTAGTTTTTAATTAAAAATGGAGGTTTTTGTTTTGTAAACGCCAATTTTATTATTTCTGAGTTATTTTTTGGGGGTTGAGCCAGGTAATTTGCACAATATTGTTTAAATGGTAAATAAACATCAATATAAATATCGGATCCGTTTTTTAATAATATCGAAAAATTGGATCGTATAGGTAATAAATTTATGTATCGGCACAGTCCTTTCCGTACTCACTTCAAAAAAGAGTTTTACATATATTGCATACGGGACATCCGGGTCATCAATGAAATCCATTACGAGATATTATGTATGGTGGGAACAATTAGATAAAGATGTTGAAAAACTAGTAAAGTGTTCTTCACTTAAACATAACGATTGGTACAATAAAAAAAGAAATGTTGTTATTGATCATTCAATTAAATATGATTTTTATTTAGTTTGTTTTTGAACAAAAATTTTAAATTTCCTTAACCCACCCAACCATTGTAAATTTTTTAACTCGCCCACCCACCCGCCCACCCATAGTTTCAAAAAATTTTTAATACGCCCACCCACCTGCCCATTCTAGAAATTTTTTACCCGCCCAATCCCCATGGGCAGGCCAAATCCTGCCCAATGCAGACCACCTTCGGCTAGTGTTTCTAAACTGCTTGATTCTACCAATTATAAAAATGGTAAACTCATGGTTTTAGACAAGAGTTAATCACTCAAATCTTGCGAATTTGATCACAGATGGTAGAAAGGGTTGAACACCATTGGCAAATTTGAGAATTAAGTACTATTTTTCCTAAACTGGATTTAGCTATTTTTGAAAATCAGCAGGATATAGCTATTTAACTACACTACATTCAGCTTTAAACTGCCCATATTATAAATAAGATGATTAATTTTTGAATAATAAAAGAAGTTTAATCATTCATAAAAGTTAGCTAGTTTTTTTTTAATAGAAAAATTGGATTGGTTCACAAAGATAAATGATAAGTAAAATCAATCTAAATATTGAATTAAAATTGCTAATTGGATTGGTTTTGCAGTAGTAACAGAAAATATGAAATTGGATCAACACTGCCCATAAATAATTATCTGTGATAAAATAAAAACAAGATTTATTAAAGATTAGAAAATTTCAAAATGTTAACATAAATTTTACTTCCTGCACCACTAATCTTATAGACAAGTCGCTCTAACAGTAATCTATCATAAAAATTATAATAATATAAAATTTTAAATAACTTTAGAACCAATTGAGCATTAGGAAATTTTTTTATTGTAAAATAATCATAAAACATATAGAATACAAATATCTTGTAAAATAAAATTTAATTATAAAAACGCATTAATGGCAGCATGAAGCTTGATGTATCCAAAGATGTGTTTTTGCAGTGTGCACAGATTGTTGTCATCATATGTTTCAATTTTGATGGGCAAAATTTGACAATAATACAAATGGATTTGGGAAGATTTTCCATTCCAATAAGTGTTTCCCTAGAATATCTCCAATGACCATATAGGGGGTCTCATCAGATAAAAAAAATACTCATATGTTTTGACTATCATTAGTAATTTTTATGAAGTGTTCATATTCATAATGACAATAGTAATACTTTTTTTATTGGAAAATATTATTTTAATAAAAATAAATATTAGGAAAAAAAAATTAGTATATGCAGGTGAGTCTAAATATTTGTCAAATACGCTTGGTAATAAATACGATTATGCAGTATTCCTGGGTTAAACTAATTTGTGAAATTTCAAACACAACTTAAGGACAAAATATTTTAAGATATCTGAATACCAAAAAATAAATATCATATTAAAAGTATATATATTTATATAAATAAATATGATAGTTAATCTACATGCTTATAAATTGAAATCTTTAAAATATTCATAATTAAAAAAATTATACCTCCCCATCTAAAGAGAGAACTTTAATATCATTATATTCTCTATTATTATTCTGTTGACTAGCATTCACATAGCTAACAATATCAGCTTTGACTTTTATTTCTTTACTACTGACTGGTTTAATCTTATTTTCATTTTGAATATCTATTTCACTTATAGGATCATAATTTGCAATATAATTACATGAATATATTTGCTCCATAATTTTGTTTTCATCAATTTGATCACTTTTAAGGGATTTTTGTTTCAATCTTTTAATGGCATTTTTAACAAGGTGAGATAAATCATCTGATTCTATATGAATAAGGCGAATGGGTCCTTTTTGGGGATCGAAATATACCGTATCTCTTGATTTCAATGCCTTGACTATTTTTTTTTCCTTTATCATTACATTTAATTTGTCGCAGAATTCTTTATCGGTTTGAAAAATATCTCTCATAACAATATTTCGAATTTTTTCAAGAGAGGTTTTCTTTTTAAATGCCTTAATTTTTTCAATTGCTTTGAGTACAGAATTTTCGAAATCAGTTGCCATATCTATAACTTGATTCAAAAAGATAACTAATTTTTCCAAAAATTTAAGATAAAATTTAATAAATATGTAATAAGTAATTATTTGTTACCTGTCAAGTATTAACCCGCCACATATGACAGACACCATTATCATTGGATGGCATATCCAAGAAATATGTAAATCGTTTTAAAAATTTAAAATTTATATTAGATATAATATTTATTCTGGTAGATTTAATCAGCTAATATTTCACCACATAATATTATTAAAAATATGTGATTTCAACACACCCAATTAAGCTTGAAAAGAAATAGATAATAATTTTTTTAAACTTTAACGAGGGTTGTATACAATAAATGATGAGCTTGTGGCTTTTTCCATATCATAAATATAGTTTCTCAGGTTTTCTGAACTTATATTGGATGTTCTTTTAACTATCTCACCCTGCATTTTGGATAACAATATTATGTTTTATTAGACTTTCGAATTTTATTAGTTCCTATAAAATAAAAATAGAATTTAATAAAAATAGAATTACTTCATATGTGTCAACTCATTCGATTTCATTCTGTTTGTATAATTGAATTAGTTTAATTGCATATAATAATAATATCCACAATAATTTCAATAGTAATATAATATCCTTCCACAAACATCAAAACCAGAAAATAATAAATATTAATGGTATTTATTTGATATAAAGTCACTTTTAAGTCTTTTGAACTAGAAAAAAATAATTTTTCCTCTGGGAGGGGTCCAAACCCAAAAACCACCCCCGTAGCTACGCCACTGGTGAAAGGGTTATATTGGCTATATTAATTTTACTAGTAATTAGCATGCCCAAAAACCTAGAAATAAACATGATTAATACCAGTACAAATAAAGTATTATCACTTATTCGGGTATGACTAAATACTGCGTTTCTAAGCTGAGTTGTTAAAATGCCTTGCTAAAAAGTAATTAATCATAATAATTATAATATGATTATATAATATCTTTTAAAAAAAAAATTTCAAAAACATTTATTTATTTTACATAAAACAATTATTAATTAAGTAAAAAATTGATATAAAAGATCAAATAATTTAAAATTCTATTTTTAATTAATATTATTGGGAAAAAAATATATTTACTAGCTTATTACAACTTAAATTTTATTTTTCACTTACAATATTTAACAATATATCCATAAGAGGGCGTTAAATGCATAAATATGAAAATATATTCTTAGGAAACCAGAATAAATATTAGATAGCGCTTTTTTTGTATTTGGGTGTAAATACATGTGAAAAACCTAAAAAAAATTTAAAAAATAGAGGTTTCTTTGACATTTAATTAATTATTAGGTTTAGAATCGAAAAATAGTAGAAAGTTTGTAGGGAACATATTGCGGGCGTTATTGATCAAAATCTCTTCATTTTTGGTTTATACGTGTATATTTAGGTGTTAAACATTATCCTAAAAAATTTTTGAAAATATTATGATTTGACCGAATACCGAGCTCAAAAACGACCACTTACTAAATATTCGATCTACCAAATTTGGTAATTATTTGGAAAATGTTCTATTTTGGTTAATTTATCTATAAATACGTGCAAATCATTATCCCAAAAAATATTTTAAAAATATCGTGATTTGACCGATAACCAATTTGAAACGAAATATTGCATTGCTGGCGTTATCCATGGAAAATTCTTTATTTTGGATTTATACGTGTACAATAAGGTGGTTTATGATTTGACCGAATGCCGAGCTCAAAGCCGACCACATATTTTCTTTTGTCTTACTTCTTTAGATATTCTTTTATCTTATTTCATCTCGATTCTTTCTTCATAATTTCTCTTCTCTCTTCCTTTTCGCTACTTTTTATATCTTCTCTCATCTTTTTCTTTCTAATCATACCAGTTTATCAATGATTTATAGATGAAGATTCCAGCAATTTATTACACTCAAAATAGAAAACAAGAAAATAAATTATTCGATATTTGCGAATAGATATTTATAAAAAATAGCATTATTTAAAGATTTTCTATTACATGAACATTATGTGCGAAGTTTGAAAGCTTTAGAACCTAGAGACTGCAACCGAATATGATAGTGGTAAGCATGGCGAGAACTTCTAAGCCCATCACTATGAACTTCTCGAGAGGGTATAGATTCTAGCCAATATGCCTTCTTAGTATCGAGTTACTTGTGATCAAAATAAATGTAAATTAGAATCCCGATACTTGAAATATTCAATTTCTTCGCTTGTTTTGATTTTAATTAATCTCCAGTGAAAAGGTCGATCTTCAAATAATTTGATTATCCATGTAAGAACTCAATCATATATTTTTCGAAGATATGCTCTACCTAATTATAGATTCAGAGCATTGCAAAGCGTCCTTCCTTTTATTATGAAATCCATTTAACTTTAGCCACAATCAAACTATGTATAACATTATAAAATTTAATGACAATAATTAAATAATGATTTATACATATCTTTATTATTTTTATAAAAAATTGTAGAAAGCATCGTTGTATATTTTATGATTTTCATATTTTATTAACTAATTAAACACGATGTTATAATTTATAAAAAATATATTTGCTTGAAAGGAATAACATAGCTATATCCAAAATATAAGAGAAGCCAAAAAATACATTAAAAATACAAAAAGTATTTATTAAAGAGAGACTAAATATAATTTATATATTTATATAATATTATTTGTATTTGTTATATAGTCCTTTGTTTTCGAACAGAAACTAGTTAAATTCCTCTTAAGCGTGAGTTTCTTGCAAACATAAGGCTTTTAAATAAAAATTTTGTTGAAAATGTTATCTTTATGGATGAAAACAAGAATTTTTATACCAATTTTAATATTTTATAAATGGATCACACCCTCTCACTCATTGTTAGATAGACTTGATGATATATATTATATTTTTAAAATTTTCTCAAACTACTTGATTTACAGGGTTTCCCATTCAAAAAAGGAAAAGGGTCAGTCATAAAAGGAAAATTTCCAAAATGAAAGGAAAAAGTCCGATCAAAAATGGAAAAGTGTCAAACAAAAAAGGAAAAAGTCCGATCAAAAAAGGAAAAGTGTCAAACAAAAAAGGAAAAGTGTCAAACAAAAAAGGAAAAGGTCCAATTAAAAAAGGAAAAGTGTCAATCGAAAAAGGAAAATTCCCAAAAGGAAAGGAAAAGTGTCAATCAAAAAAGGAAAATTCTTATTCAAAAAAGGATAATCGTAATTTAAATTTTTTTTATAAAATATTATAAATTTTTCAATTTTTCTTAAATTTTTCTTAAATTTTTATTTATTTTTGTCATTCCTTCTTATTTTTTCAACTTTTTGCGATTTCTTTACTTTATTTGTATCTTTTCTCAATTTATTTATCTTACTATATCTATTCTATTGATAATTCTTTTGTATTTTTAAAAATAATTGATAAATTTAGGTCCATTTTTTAAACAATTCTTTACGTTTTTTTCATCATACATATGTCGTAATTTTTAAAGGGATAATAACTATCCGGGATCTTCACGGGATTTAAAGTGTAACCTTTAAAATTTCATTTTTAAAAGGATAAAGATTTATACGGCATTATAAGGTTTAAATCATGATATAGAAGAATCTTATTTTAAAAAGCGTTTTCAGCGCGTTTTGTTTTGTTTCGTTTTTTAATTTTATTTTTATTCATTAATTTTCAATGTTGTTTTTTTGGCCTTATGAAATAAGATATGTCTAATATAGGGTATCAATCGATAGCTAATCAAAAGATCTATTAAACTGGAGGTCAATCTCTCCCCCATAAAGAGCCGGTCTAGGCCTTGGTGGGGGGGGGGGGGTGTCAGAAATATTTTTATCAACACAAAATATCGATAGGGGTATCAAAAAAGCTAATTTTAATATGGTTTGACTGAAAGTCTTCATTCTTGGTCTGGATGGGTATGACTTGGTCTGGAAGGTGGGGGGGGGGGGGGTGTAAAAAATAGTTTTTTTTGTTATGGGTATCAAATAAAAGCTAATTATACAGGGTTTCCCATCCAAAAAAGGAAAAGTCCCAATCAAGAAAGGAAAAGGTTCAATCAAAAAAGGAAAAGTGTCAAACAAAAAAAGAAAAAGTTCAATCAAAAAAGGAAAAAGTCCGATCAAAAAAGGAAAATTGTCAATCAAAAAAGGAAAAGTCCCAGGTTAAGGAAAAAGTTCAATCAAAAAAGGAAAAGTGTCAAACAAAAAAGGAAAAGGTTCAATCAAAAAAGGAAAAGTGTCAAACAAAAAAGGAAAAGGTCCAATCAAAAAAGGAAAAGTGTCAATCGAAAAAGGAAAATTCCCAAAAGAAAAGGAAAAGGGTCAATCAAAAAAGGAAAATTCCCATTCAAAAAAGGAAAATCGTAATTTTTTTAAAAAAATATATAAACTTTTCAATTTTTCTTAAATTTATTTATTTTTTTCATTCCTTCTTATTTTATTTCTAACTTTTTGCGATTTATATATTTTATTTGTATCTTTTCTCACTATATCTTTTCTCAATTTTTTTTCTTCTCATTTTTGATAATTCTTTTAAGTATATTTAATTTTCACTAAATTTTTGGCAGACAACTTTTTTATTATAATTTTTTACATATGAAATTCTTTAATTACAATTACGATATATATTTAATATAGTACGCAACAAAAATTTATATTAATCATTAATAATTTCTCCCCTTCTAAATTTTGGGATATATGTCTCCATATTTCTAAAATAATTTTTTGCATTTTCTTCAGATATTCCTCTTTCTCCATGTTCTATATAACGAATTAATTCTTCCTCGTTACCAGTTTATTTCTGACAAAATACTTCCATTGAAAAAACACATTCTCAATAGGATTAAGATACGGACTGTAGGGTGGTAAATATTTCAATGTATGTCCTTTTCTTTAGATCGATTCCCTAATTGAATGATTGTGATGAAATGGAACATTATCCATAATAAAAATCATATTAATTATGTTAGATTCTTCAAAATGATTTAATATTTCATTTATAAAGTTGCTAAAATATATA